CCTACAAGACGAGCCTTATGTCGCTCAAAAGAACCGTTAGATTTCTTTTTGTGACGAAAAATCCACATAGAACGAATAATATTCACATCGGTAGGCCGTGGAACTAGCTCCCACGTCTTATTTTTAATTAGAGCATCCATTTCATCCATCATAGCCAATTTCCAATTTTGATCACGAATAGCACTGATGGGGTTTTTGGGAATGGGAGAGATGGAAGGGGAAGTGGAAACACTCAAATTAAAAGGTTTCTTGGGCTTAAAGATCCCATGCTGACTTCTAGTGGAAATGCGGATTGAGGGAGTGAGCCGTGGTTGCTGTTAGGCCTGGGAAGTGGGCGCTGCAGGCTGGATTGGTGATGAGGGAGATTGAGGAGGCTGGTCCGTTGAGGAGGGAGGTAGACGACTTGGACTGGAAGAATTTTGTTGCAATGCTTGGATTAAGTATGGCGATGGGGAGTCATCTAGGAACTCATATGAGGAGGAAGTTGGAGTATGCAATTTTGAGAAAGGAAACTGAGTTTCATCGAATAGGACATGGCGAGAGATGATGATTCTCCTACTTGACAAGTCGTAGCACTTGTAACCCCGGTGATTGGAATGATAGCCCAAGAATACACATGGGGTGGACCGAGCTTGAAGCTTGTTGATGGTTGAGGAGGGGAAGAGAGGATAGCATAGGCAACCGAACACACGAAGGTGAGAGTAGGAAGGAATCCTTTGGTAGAGGATTTGTGTCGGAGTTTTGTATCCCAAGACCTTAGAAGGAAGGATATTTAGAAGGTATGTCGTCATTTGAAGAGCATGGTGCCAAAAGGAAGGGGGCATGGAAGAGTGAGCTAGAAGAGTTCTAACAATTTTATTGATGGACTTAATTTTTCGTTCGGATTTTCCATTTTGTGGGGATGTATGTGGACATGAGAGACGAAAATCCATGCCATGACGGTCAAAAAGGTTTTGAAGAGGTCCATTAATGTACTCCCGCCCATTGTCACATTGCAAATTTTTAATTTCCCGTTCGAATTGAGTGCGAATATATGCTTGAAATTTTTGGAAGATAGAATAAATCTGTGATTTATTAGAAATAGGAAAAGTCCATAGGAAATTCGAATAATCGTCCAAAAATAAGGCATAATATTTATGTCCCGAGGAGCTCAAAACGGGGGAGGTCCATAAATCACTGTGAACAATATCAAATGGCAAGCAAGTAAAAGAAGTAGAACTCTTAAATGGCAACTTAATATGTTTTCCAAGAGGACAAGAAGGACAAAAAAATCCACGGGCCTTATTACATTGAATAAAATTGTTACTACGGAGAGAATTAAGAATAACTTCCCCGGGATGCCCTAAACGACTATGCCATAAACTTGAAGACAAAGCAGTAAAGACGGAATCAGAAATGACCCGATTTTTGGTGAAGGGATAGAGGTCTCCCGAGCTCTCACATCTCAGTAGGTGCTTCCCCGTCTGTAAATCCTTCACATAAAATCCAAACGGATCAAACTCAACAGAACAAGAATTATCTTTAGTGAATTTGCGAACGGAAATAAGGTTCTTAATGAGTTTTGGGGCATGCAAGACATTGTTTAGGTGTAAAGGGGGGTTGGAGGGAGATAATGAAGTGCTACCATAACCTTGAATTGGAATCGTATGGCCATTTCCAACAACAATATCACGATTTGTGCTCAAATTAAAATAAGACGAGAGAGTACCTTGATTTGAAGTCATGTGGGAGGTTGCACCGGTGTCCATGTACCAATTGTCATCCGGTGGGTTGAGAGAGAGTGTGTGCATAGCCTGCTCAACATTAGTGGGCATGTAATCAGTGTGTTGAGGAGCTGCTGCTACATGGTAGGCTTGTGGAGGTCGAGCACCAAGAATACCAGGCTGTCTGGGAGTAGGGCGTGGCTGCCAGGATGATGTAGGATAGGGGCAAGGAGGTGTGGCCCAAGGTTGGGGTGCCCATCCTCCACATGTCGGAAACTGCCACATAGGTGGCCATGGAGATGATTGATGCTGCTGCTACAGAGCATTGCCACGTCCCCCATGGGTGTTACCACGACCTCCTCCACGACCCTTATAGTCGTGACCATTATGATTTCCACGACCGCGACCTCCGTTCTTTTTGTGATAATTGTTGCGATGGTGATTGTTGTTGTGGCGTGGAGGTTGCACGGCATTGGAAGTATCATCAGATGAGTTGGTGTGAGTACCTGCAATAAGAACAGAATCAGATTCCCGGGCAGCGCTATTGTTGAGAGTGGCTTCCTCCATCACCAAGGTAGAACATGCATCGGAGAAAGATTTGAGAGGTTTGCTATGTTGGATGAGCCTGCCAACCCCACGATAAGCACTGTTGAGACCCGAACAAAGTACAAGCACTCTCCGTGCATCTGAAACCGGTACGCCGACATTCCCGAGTTGATCCGCAAGCGTCTTGATACGTTGACAATAGGCTGCAACGTTAGGAAAATCATCAAGTCGAACCTGAGAGAGTTGGTACTCAAGATGGACGGCTCTGGAGGTTTTGTTGTCGTGGAACAAATCGGCTAAGTGGTTCCAAGCATCCATGGCCGTGGCATCTTGTTCAAGAATGGTAAGGAGAACGTCGTTAGTAATCGTGCCATAAATCCATTGAAGGACAATGGCGTCCAAACGATCCCAGAGGTTGTTGTCCTCGGATTCCGCATCCTTGGATGAGGATGTCTTCTTCCCTGTGGTTGTTGAAGTCGGCGGAATGATGTGGTCGAGGACTTGATAGGCCCTTGCGTGGATCTTGAATAATGTGGCCCAAGAATTGTATTGAGAGCTTTCCATGTCAAGAATGACTGGGATGAAGTTTTTGATATTGTTGACAGCCAAAGCGGGATGAAACTTGTGGGTTTCTGCCATGGAGAAAGAAGAGAGAAGGTGGAGGAAGAGGAAGAAGAGGGAGGTAGGATACAGAAGAAGACGGCGGCTAGGGTTCGTAACCTAGTCTGATACCATGAAAGATTGTATATTGCCTGCCTTTCTCATTCAACTCTTGTCAAATATATACAGCTCTATGAGACTATAATCTAGGCTATAATCTAGGCTATAATTAAGGAATCATAACAAGAGAATATTTACATGCTATATATAAAGATATTAACATAATCTATCACTTTGAAGTATGGAACTGTCACAGTACTAGAACTTCAGGGTATCAAAATTTTATTAAAAAAAATTCTTTTGAAGTATCAAAGCATAAATAACCTTTTTCTATGTATGTCCACCTTTCCACTTTAATTTAGAAATATCAATTGCAGCTAACACCCTTCTCCTTAAGGAAATTGAAAAGAGCTAGATGCTAATAAATATACTGAGCAGAGTTAAGTGCAACTGAATGTATAGATCAAGGGGTTTATGTGCAATTTACTTAAACTATATATATCATAAAGTGGTGTATTAGAAAATTTTGAAAATTTTAGGATTGACTTGATTTAAAGAAAAGGTAAAAGAAAATTGAATATTAAAGTTGTTGTCAAAGTTGGACAGAACAGTTGCTTAATATAAGTTGGGTAAGCGTAGTTTTTGTAATATAACATGTATTCTTTTAACTTCTGTACATATAGAATCTGTAATGCTCTATTTGATAAACACGAAATGGAGCGGGCACATGCATTACACGTGCCTTCCTCGCTAGTTAATAATAATTATCGCTTTATTTTTTATAAGGGTTAATTTAACAAAACTTCCCTAATTTTTAGGGGGTGCTCCACATCACCCGTCTGAACTCTGTTTATCTCATTTAACCTTTCTAAATTATGTGGTGTCCGGGAAACCTCTAAACCTTCTCTCATCTAGCCCCCATCTATGGTTTACGAATAACTAATAATTTCTTGAGGGGAGAAACTCAAAATTTTAGGGAGGGAGGGAGTGTATTGCAATAACTAGTAGCAAATTTGTAATACAATCTTACCACTTATTTTATATTAAACGGTTGTATCCGCGTCATGTACAGATTTTGTATTAAAATATTGTACATATTGGTGATAATTAGTTATGGGCGCTGAATGAGGATGACTTTAATTTATAATATAAAGGCATTAAATCCATATGCTGACAGCCAAGCAACAAGTCAAAATTTAAGGTAATTTACGCGCCGACAAAGTCAATGCTATTATTTGAGTTTTTTGGCTCATAGTCCCCTGAATCTTTCATACTAACATTTGTCCCTCGAGAAAGTGCTAATGTGTTCTCTTGTTGTGAATTAATTTTGATTAGCCTCTCATATTATTGATACTATTCAATTCTTAAGCATCCAAGAGGTAGAGGAATTAATTTGGAACGATTTAAGAGAATTGGGGATCTGATAGTAATTTCAATAGTTTGATGGACAAATTTAAGATACCAAAGTTTTAAGGCTAAACGACACTTAAACAATTTATAATTTCACTCACTCAGCACTTATATATCATCGATTGTTTTTTGTGGCAATTTATCTACCTTAAGTTGTTTAAATTTGACACATTAGCTCTCTATTATGCAAACGTGAAAAATTCACTTGAAACTTTTTAGATAACATTCACTTGTTAATTAAAAAGTTTTGAACCATTAGTATATTGTAAATTTACTATTATCCCTATCAAAATTCTACTTTTAAATGTATCTAAATTCTATTTTTATAATAGAATATAAATAGATTTAATAATAAAATTTAACAAACTTATTAGTTATAGAGCTATAAAATTAGCATCGAATGTTAATATGTGCACTTCCGAATGAAAATTTTCACGTTTACATAACAATGTTAATATGTGCACTTGCGAATGAGAATTTTTACGTTTACATAACAGAATATACTAACATACTAATTATAAACAAACCAAAAGTATAAAAGTTAAGTAAAATAACTAGAGGCATGTAAGTGCCGAGTGAGTGAAACTAATGTCCGATAAACACGTTCTTTCTCTTTCCGCGTCGACTCATAGATAAAAATCAACGACCCTCCTCGTACTTATACCTAACTCTATTTTCCTACCTCTTCATTTACGCGGCTAACGTGCGCACCTCTCATTGCGGCAAGTCCCCCTTCTGGGTATTTTTGAATGCATCGATTTCTCTCTGAGATCTCATTTCTTTGCTAATATTGATCGATTTTTTTCTTTCCTGCGATGAGCAGATCCGGGAGCGAGCTGCTCGGCGTTGAGCTAGGGCGCACGGCTCTAACGTGCGCCATTCAGGTGATTTCCATCTCTGGGTCTTGTTTAAATTTCAAAAACTCCGTGTTTTTGCTTAATTAACTTCGTTGCGCATCTGCTAGCGTATTTTGTTTTGAGCTGTTCAGCTGTTAGATTTAGACTAAATTGTTTCCTCTTGTGCAGTTTTGAAAATTATTAGATGTATTTTTAAGAGAAAACAGTTGAAGTTTTGGTTATCATGGAGTAATTTGCGTTTATAAGGGAATTCAGGACTTTTATTGGGAAAAAGAGTTACTGAGATTTAATTCTAAAGATTTGACTATTCATGTATTTAAATGTAATGTTCTGGTGTTATTACTAACAAAAGGATTTTTTTCCCTACCCAGAGTGTCATGCCTTGGTGAATAATGTGAGAATATAAAATATAACCCTCAACACAACTTCGGAAGTATTTTTTTATTATTATTATTTTCCCCCTTTTTTAATGGTTAGAGACTTTAACATGATATCAGAGTACCTTGGTTTGATTCCCATCGGCCACAAATTTAAAGCAGTTTCCCTAAAATTTGATTTTGTTGCATGAGTCTAGGTTTTAGCCCTTGAAAAGGGCACTCAAACATTGAAAAGGGCGCTCAACATGTGGGGGTCCTCACCACAACTTCGGAGTTTTTGCACAATAGTTAGCGACTTTAAAAAAATAAAATGGGAAAATGCATTTTTCTTTATTATAAACTCTTGAACACCACCTATTTCATATACTAATTGGCTTGCGATAACCGAGAAACTAGAATTGAAAGGTTAAGTCGTAACTTGATGCAAATAATTTTTATCCGTTACCAATTTCAGAAATAAATAAAAAATAGCAATAATCTATTTTGATACGGCTGCGGGTGCGGATATGGGTGCAGATACGGCCTATGGGACATGACAAAATTATAAAAGTTAGGATATAGGAACATGGCTATATACGTACATATTAAAGTTAATAACTTGTATAAGGTCGATATTTTTTTTCATTTACATATTATGAAAACTTAAATCCTAATAATATTTTTATGTTTCTTTTATGGAGTGGATTGTAAGTTGAAAAACCGCTTGTATTTTGAACTAGATATCCAAACGATCCTTTATAATCATACTTATGAACTAGATATGTGCTAAAGTCAACCTATTCTGAGTCTAGCGAGTTGCATAAATTTGAAGTGAAGTGTAAGATATATGTTCAAGAAGCGCATCATGTTTTAAGCTAAAACATGTGTTATATAATTGACGACATGTCTGAATAAATATACGTATATATTCAATCAGTATTCAACAATGTCCGACACGAACACAGATACAGGAAGTGTCAGACATGTATATAGGAGCCTAGATGAAGTGTTCGAGTAACCCAGGCTATAACTGTAAGCCTATAATAAATCTTGTCCCAGTGATTGTGATGTTTGTAGCAAAACATTGTGGGAGTATATTTAATGAGATAGCTATTTTCAGGCTTGCCATAACTGAAAAGTGAGAATTGGGAGTTGACTTGATGCCAATAAGTGCTTTATCCATCGTCAATTTAGGAAGTAAATAAAGAGATAGCTACAAAATGGCTTGTCATAGTCAATGTGATGTTCGTAGCGAAACATTGTGGAACGAATATATTTAAGGAGAGCAACTCAAGTATTTATTTCTGCAGGATCACATGGAAAATTTTACTTTGAATAAACTGGCACAGCATGAAGCACATCGCAAGCTCAGAATGCTTACCAAAATTGTGGGAAACACAAGAAAACTGGCTTTTGGTGAACAAATTGAATCAAACTACAAACTAGAAGGATGGTAATGATAAGAACTATTGATAGCTCCAATCAGGACCCTACTTAACCTATATATCTCATATTTAGCTGGTTGAAGGTGTATGATGGAAGTGGAAGAGGTTATGAAGACTTGGAAGTTGTAACAATATCCAGGTGGTCCTGAAAAGGTTGCAATCCAGAAAATTGTGGAAATAGGACTCTTAAGGCATCTTAACTGTTCACTGAAAGCCTGTCTAGATTGATGTTCAATAAACTCTTTTGGTTTAAATTACTTCAAGTATAAATATGGAGTGTTTATTCATTTTTTTGACTGCATAATAATATTGATCTAATGATTAGCTGTTTTATTACCCACATCTCTTACAGGGATGAGTTTTACAGATATTTCTAGAGTTATTTTCCATTGATGAGATCATATGTTGTTTCACTATAATTGGTCTTCACAAATTTGCGAAACACTTCTAAAGTTATCACCGAGAGTCTACAATAACTTGAGTGTTTCATGTGGAGAGATAGTCCTTAATTATGATTGGTGTATACGTGAAGTTTGATTGCCGATGCGTATGCATAATTTGAAATTGATGGCTTACCATCAATGTTGAATGGACACATGTCACACATCTATCCATGCAGCCATGTCCTTCTTTGGTCATCATGTATTATTCTAGAATCTTTGTGTATCATTATCTTGTGTTGCATCTTCATGTATATTTGAATGCATCTTATGAAGCATGAGAATCCTGCATTTTAAGTATCAGTTAAAATTGAATGCTTGTGTCTCAATTAGCGTGCTTGCACTGCCCATGTATTTTTGAAACTGGATGAATGCTTGTGTCTCAATTCAAGCGTTTGATTTTGCAGTGCTCCCATATTTCATATAAAGCAGCACTCAACATAGAAAGGTTAATCGGTGATTTAGTCAGAGTAATGAGTTGTTTCTCTTGCTTATTCAAGGGTCTGACAACTCCAGAGAAGAAAACTGTTCAAAGAGATGAAGGTACTTCTTGTAAAAATTGAATGCTTTGAGCCCTATATGATATGAGTTTTGCCTCCTCCAACCTTGTTTAAACTAGTGCTTACTTTTGATTTTGTTATTCTTTCAGATATTGCTGGTGTTGAAAATGTGAAGATCTTCTCTTATAAAGAATTGTGTAAAGCCACTAGAGAATTTAGCCCTGTCAATAAAGTTGGCAAAGGCGGTTTTGGATCTGTTTACAGAGTATTGTTTCTTACATTAAACTGCAGCAACACTAAATTTGAGCATCATTGTTAATGGGCTGTATTTGATGCAGGGAACACTTAAAGATGGGACAGTCATTGCTGCAAAGGTCCTCTCTCATGAGTCAAGACAAGGAATACGAGAGTTCTTGACTGAGCTTACTGTGATTTCTGATATAATCCACGAGAACCTTGTTAGATTGTATGGTTGCTGTGTTGAAAGTGTTCATAGAATACTAATTTACGAGTACATCGAGAACAATAGCCTTGCGCAGACTCTTCTTGGTAAGTTTTGTAAATGGGTTAAATTTACAAGACACCCTCTGAACTTTGGGGATTTTGTGCATAACCCCTTGAAATTCGCAAACAACTAAAATGCCATTGAGAGAAAAACAATCCCCAAATTTGTCATTTATAAGCAGCGTGCCCCCCTTCCCTAAACTGAGGGTTTTTTCTCTCAAGGAAATTTTGGTTATTTACAAATTACAAGCGGGGGTCCTAATAGAAAAGTTTAAAGTTCAGGAGGTTTTGAGACACCCAAAAATCCAAAGGGGTTATGAGAGATAAAAAAAGGTTCAGGGGGGTTATGGGCAAAACCCTCCAAAGTTTAAGGGGTTTTGTGAAAATTAACCCGTTGTATATCCATATGTCTAATCTATTTTGAAAGAATACCTTCAAGCTACTTTCATTTTCTTAGGTGCAAATCGTAGTAATATTCAGTTCAGTTGGAAAACACGAACAAATATCAGCATAGGTATTGCACGTGGACTTGCATTCCTTCACGAAGAAGTTCGACCTCCTATAATCCATCGTGATATCAAAGCAAGCAATATTCTTCTTGATAGGGACCTTACTCCCAAAATCTCTGATTTTGGGTTAGCAAGGCTCCTGCCACCAAATGCAACCCATGTTAGTACTCGCGTTGCTGGAAGCATTGTGAGTTTGATCCGCATCTCCTGCTCCATAAGTTTTATTCCCCCCCCCCCCCCCCCCACACACACACATTTGGTTCATTTGTTTGAGTATTTCACTGGTCCACAGTGTAATGATCATAGACTGGACCCGAGCTTCTTTATAAAGTTTGAAATGAATTCAGGCTAGGTCTATGCTTAGAGTTTAACTGTATGCACTGTCCGATAACATGCCCTGATTAAAGTGCGATATTCTTGTGTTAATCTTGCATTGGGCACTGTGCTTGTGATGGAACAACTGGCTTGGGTAGGAGCTTAATGCACCCTGAAAGCACCATGCTGCAGCTGCTGCCCTTGAACATAAGGGTAAATTGCAGATGGACCCCCTGTACTACTGCAGTTGCAGATAGACCCCCCTGTAGTTCAATTGTTGCAGATAGCCCCCACTGTGACATTTTTGTTGAAACTTTTGCCCACAGAAGGTTTATTTGTCCAAAAAAATTCTCCTTCATTTGGGGTAAAAGAATCGAAAAGAATTTCACTCGGGGGGTCTATACACAATTGGGCAATAGTACAGAGGGTCCATCGGCAATTAACCCCTTAAAATAAATGAACAAGAGATTTTAATTTCTTGAAAATGATTTATTCAAAATATATACTTGTGATCATGTGTGAGATAGCTTAGGCATCGATCATGCAATCTAGCATTTGAGGCACATGACAATGGAACGACAGAATTTAGGATGTGTAGTTTTCTTGGATTCCAAGATTAAGAGAACCTTCCTTCCCTAACCTTCTCTCTTTTTAAATTTTTTTTTGAACAGAGGTTACTTAGCTCCAGAATATGCGTTACATGGGCAGGTGACATGCAAGTCGGATATCTACAGCTTTGGTGTTCTTCTATTGGAGATAGTTTGTGGAAGATGTAACAGAAACACAAGCTTGCCTCATGAAGAACGCTTTCTTCTTGAAAGGGTAAGTTAATACTTATGGCATGTCTTTTTTATTTTACAAAATGATGGAAATTTCCTATACAAATGAGCTCCACATTTTTCCTGCCATTTTTTCCCCAATATCGTGTGCTTATGAAGGTTAACATTACATCTATAGAATCCTTTTTTTAATTAATGTCAACTATTGAGATTAGTCGTGGACTCCGAGTGATTTATGTCATCTCTGGTCTTAGTTTGCGACGGCTTAAGGATTAAACATTAGGAGGACTCAACATCTTTATTTTTCAAGAGGATTAGCTGTTCATCTATGATTTGTTTTACGCTCTTGCCAACTACTCAAATGAGTAACTACTCAAATGAGTTCGTTGAGCAAAATAATCTATTGATTATTCTACATATGTTTGAAAACAAAAAATAACACGTGCTTCTTTGTTGTAATTGTACTATTTATCTGAAAGAAAATACAACACCTAGCCTAGGGTAACGCAACATTGCTTGCCTGTTGTCGAAAAGAACCGTCATTTTTATCTATAATTTCCACTGCAAATCTAACAGTGTGAACAATAATCTCATTGATATTTAGTGAATTTTTTATGAGGTTAAGTAGCTATAAGTTTGCTTATAGATGGAAAGGGTAAAATATTTGCCAAATGACCTCAATAGGTATAGGATAAACATACTAAGAAAAGCTAAAGGGTTAATTGCGAATAGACTCCTATAGTACACTGTTTTTAATTTATTAGCCCTCTAATTATTTTTACAGATACACCCCCTTAGTGAATTTTTTGACTCTTTTACCTAGAAAGAAGAAAAGAGAAATAGTTTTTGACAATAGACCCGCTGAGGGTAACGACTCAAAAAATTCACTCGGGTGTCTATCTGCAGATATAAAACTAGAGGGGTCGCAAGTTCAAAACATTGTTACTACACAGGGTCTTCCGCAATTAACCCAAAATTAAAATGTGTTGATAGAGTTCATACGCTCAAAAATCTCAAAGATTTTTTGAGTTCTTGTTGCCAACATAATTGGTGCTGGCATCTTAATGGTCTTCTCGTGTTATAGACCTGGCTACACTATGAAAGTGGAGAGCTGGCAAAAGTTGTAGACACCTCCATAACAGATGATTTGGAAATAGAAGAGGCATGCAAGTTCTTGAAGATTGCTCTTCTGTGCACACAAGAGGTTGCCAAGCTTCGGCCATTAATGTCCACTGTGGTCACAATGCTGACAACAAAGATGGATGTGGAGTCTTCTCAGATAACCCGGCCTGGTTTGGTCTGTGATTTCAAGGACCTCAAGATTAGAAGCCAGAAAAATACATCATCCACCGAGTCTTCGGGATCACCGGAGACGACTCATGCTAATATGACTTTCACAGCAATAAGCGACAGAGAGTGAAGCAGTACTTGTGAAAGATTAGTTTATTGTGATCTATTATAGTATCTTATTGAGCTTGTTCAATTTCCTTGGGTTTGATTTTTTTTAATGGTTGTGGTAAATGCAGGCAATGTATATAGACACTTTCAGACGGTAATGATATTATTTCTATTGATGTTGATGAACCGCGAAACTTCTCAACACCACTTCATGCATGGTGTTGTTCTTAATGACAAAAGGATAAAAAGTAATTACACAAAGAATGGACACAAGGATTTACGTGGAAAACTCAAACAGGAAAAAACCATGGGTTAAGCTCGCATGATACTTCACTATAATGGAATCAACAAATTGGTACAAGGCACACACGACACACCCGACAACGCCGACTTTCACACAGCCCTCACACACGCTCCTTCTATATCAACTCAACACTAGAGATCTCTACAATATAATAGACTCTCCTTCACTCTAACTCTTTATACTTTTAAGAGAACAAGTGGAAAACTTGGATTACAACTCCACAACGGGAGTATGCCAATTTATAGGCTTTGATGAACCTTCTAGTCCACCTTTTCATCTTCCAAGATGCTTGGGAATACACAAATCTGTTCAGATTCGGATAAGGTATTTTGACTGACCATAACTCCATCAATGCTGCTCCGATTCTTGTGATTCAAAGCTTTGAGTAAACTATGTATGCACCTCTACAACTTTCATGCAGAGTTCCGAGTCAAATAATGACTGCACCATGCCCGAAAAGACCATGCAAAATTATATATGCATGCAGAAAACTGCAGCAATAATTGAGTTGGAAATCGAGTTAACTCCAACAATTTCATTGGTTGGATTTTTAATTGTTTTTTGGTTTTAGTAGTACATTGTTACTTCGAACTTATTAACCCTGCAGTTTCATTTTCGCAGTTAAGAATTCTTCGGTGAATTTGTTTTTCGCTCTTTTACCTTCAAATAGACTCCTTAATTTCAGCCTGGGCAATATCTATGAAATTTCACTTGGGTGAAAGAGTCTAAAAAGTTAACCCGGTGGGGTCTATCAGCCAAATTGAAACTAGACTTACTATGCTTTGATGTCTAACTTGCACACCTCAAATCTCTGTAAGGGTGCAATTGAGCGTTTGAAACCTGTTAAGGCTGGACCGCATTAGGCCATTTCCCAAAGCTTGCTCTGTGGAAAAAGCATTTGAGCTTGAGAATAAAACTAAATGCATAAACAACAAAAAGAAGCAGTTCATTTGCTTTTGTGTCAGCATTCTAAAAATGCTTGTGCTTGCTGGACAAGATTCTGTTAAGTGTGAATTATTTGCGAAGTGATGCGTGTGTTATCGATCTGTGGTCCTCAGAGTTGGCAGGATGGTCTTTATTAAGATTGAAGCTGCAAGGTTACATAAAGCAAAGGCCACTTGAATTACTGTAGAAAGAGAATAACGCAGAAAAGTTTTCTGCGTATCAGAAACAATGCTGGCTTTTTATGTACGTGTCTGTGTGTGGGGGCTTTATTCGATCATAGGAAAGAATCTAATATATGATGTCTCTTTGTTGTGATTAATTTGTTCGTAAGCATACTTGGTTGGATAGTGGTTAAGTACCCTTTTCCTCGCTCTCAATTCAAAGTGCTTGGTTGTTTGTTATACTTATTTGATTGTATTTGAGATTATGAAATACTAATATGATACATGAGATTATGATATGAGAACAAAGGTGATATGGTCTTTTCCTGGGGGTTAATTGCGGATAGGCCCTTGTACTACTGCCCAATTGCAGATGGACCCCCTGTAGTTCTGTTGTTGCATATAGGTTTCTGAGTGAAACTGTTATGAGGATGTTACTCTTATATCCTCAGTAACATAGGAAATTGTTTTTTTTTTCTTTTTTTGGCGCCAAATAGACCTACTGAGGGCGAAAGAGTCAAAGACATTTTACCTTGGGTGCGAAACGATAGAACTGCAGTCGTGTTTGTTGGCGCCGCAACTGTTCAAACCATGGCAAGTAGTTGCGCAAACAGGTGAGCTTTTATATATTATTATACTGGGTCTGATTTGTTTATTTCAACTCACTGAACTTGAAAACAATTCCAACCTAGATTGGAAGTACGTTTGTCACATTCTTCATGAACTTTGGGTTACCTTCTGAGATGCCGCAGTAGGCGCTTGGTTTTGGACTACTTAAATTTACGCTTTTTTGTCCCTAAAATCTACAATGTTACGGAATTTCCTTCCAATTTATACACTTACGAATTTGTCCCCAAATCTCTCATATTTGGTTTTCTGTAACAACAACAACAACAACAAATCCTTTCCTAAATTTATCAGGTTGGCAACATGAATTCTGTTTTTCTATTCAGTTTTATTTTGAATCATCTCCTATGTTACTTTTAACATTATTATATTTTTTCTTAATTGCTTCTAACTAAGTTCCTTAGACCAAATCATCTTTTCTGACCGGTGCACATGAGATGCCTCAGTTGTACATAACCAAACCGCCTCAACCAATTTGCTCTCATTTCTTATTTTATCTTTTAGTATATACCCACAAGTAGGACTGTCCAAAAAGCCCGTGACCCAGGTGCGGCCCGAAAGTAGGCGAAGCTCAAGTTTTGAGCTTAGGTCTCTAGACCAAAATCCAAACCAACCCGGATATGATGCATCTGTATATTTTTAAATAGAAAAATATAGGAAAATATGGATCCTGATGTTTGAACTGGCCATCTCTATGGGAGCTTTAAAGCTACTAAATATTCAAACTGGTTTTGTTATGTTTGGTGTGGCTTCTGTTATTATTCTACACACACACACATAGCCCGGAATTGCCTGGACTTGGACCTGAGCTTGGGCCCTGCCCGGTACACCTAGTTTCTGGTCCGTGTTGGGTCTTTTGCGAGGCCGAAACCTAGATTTCCTAGCTAGACCGAGCTGGTCTGAATGAACACCCCTACCCGTAAGATCATCTTAGCATTCACATTTTTGCTACATTTGTTGTTTGCTAATGTTGTTTTTTAAGTGTCCAATGTTCTAATTTATAAAGCATTCTTGATCTTAGAAGTATTCTATATAATTTTTTCTTTAGTTTCATGGATAATCTAAGATCACAGTAGTCTCTCAATGCACACCGCTATTTTAACCATCCTGATTTGATTCGATGGATAACATCATTCTCAATCTCATCATTGTTCGGTGGAAAATTTGTAATAAGAAAATAAAAGAATTGAATGTTTTATTCCCTCTAACTGATTTAGAGAAAGAATGTTTACAACTCTCTCAACCTCGAATACAATTTGAATTTCCTGATTACAAAAGAGAAGAAGATCGAGGGAGATCCTCCCCTTTATTTAGGTCTGGGTTCTTCACGGTGGCGATGAAATGTCTCCCTCGAATGCTCGCGTCGAGCTTGCTTTCTGTTGACGATCCGACGTTTTGCTTCACTAGAACGATATCTTCTCCTCACGATTTGATGCTGTAGAGAACTTGCAAAGCAAGTTTTAGAACTCTAAACAAGTTTAGAAGAACTTACAGAGCAAGTTTGAAACTCTTAACGAGTTAGAGAACTCTGAGCGAGTTATAACTCTATGTAAGAGTTGATTGATTTAACCGAAAATCGGTTTGTAAGCCAAGTTTGATAAAAGCTCCAAGAACAACTCCGAGGATCTGAAGATTGTCGAGATCCTTCTTTTGCCAAGAAGTCTTTTGCCGATCTCCAAGATTTCCAATCCAGAAAAAGAGAGAGAGCCTTTTGATCTCCAAAATTCCAGATCGAAGATCCCCAGAAAAAGATCCGAATTAAGCTGATTTTAGCTATTTATAGGGCTTTTTGGGGGTGTAACTGCCCCCTAAAATCTCTCCTTAATGGGGTATAACCGATCTCATTTCATGGAAAATGGTTTTGAAACCGTTCATGTAGTTTAAGGGGTGTAATCCCCCCTAAAATCATGGGAGAACGGTTTTAGAACCTTTTAAATCGTATTTGAATGAGTCAAACGCAAAATCTGCATTCTGGGCACGAACACTGTGTTTTGGGACTGAAACGCAGAGTTGGGACTTGTGTTGGCGGCTGAGAACGTACAGGTCGCGCTGCATTTTGAATCTGGACTACAAGGCTGACCCTTGCGTTTCGAAGTTGGAACGCAGCTCTTGAGCTTTGCGTCTCGTTCTAGAACACATCTACGGGCTCAGCATTTTTCTTCTAGGAGTTTGGAAGGCGGCCACGAGCTATGTGTTTTGAATCTGGGACGCAGAGGTGAGCTCTGCATCTGGATTTGAAGAAACCGTCAATTTGTAGTCTCTTTTGCTAGAGCGTTACAAAGACCGTCATCTTGTAATCTTCTTCTTGGCTCCATAAAAATATGAGAGTCGTCAGATTGTAACTCCCGATGTTGATTGTGAAGGCTGTTGATTAGACTTTTTATTATATGTTACGAAGATCGTCAGATTATAACCTTCATCGATCTACGTAAAAGTTTTCAAATTATAGCCTTGTGGAAGTCGTCAGATTATAACTTCCATCATCGGTATTTGATGGTGGATCAACTATCTGCAGTGATTTTTAGACAACCTACAGAACCCCCTCTAAAGTTTTTGAAAGTTCGCAGTTGACTGGGACGAATTTTTGGAATACTTTGGATCTCAACTCTGATCTTAGAGCTGTTGTTTCCTTGTCATAAAGGAGTCGTTCTCTGCACTCGCTTCAAAAAAAATCTTGGTTGAAGGGACACGCAGGACCCGTATGAAGGTATGCGTTATAATACTGCTTTTGGAATGTAGGGGTGGACCCCTGTATTTTGAACTTAAGACGCGGGTCTCACCCTTACGTTTTAAATTTGGAACCCAGATGTGACCTCGGCGTTGTGATTTTTGCAACGCGGGTCTGACCTCGGCGTTTTGACTTGAGACGTGGAGGTGGCTTTCATGCTTTTTTAACTAAGTCTTTGAGACTTATCTTTAGCTCATCTATTTCAAGTCTCGGCTCACATCCATTAAGCTGGTGGACCTACAAACATGCATAGGATTTTTGGCAAACCCTCAGTCATCAACGGATTTGATAAACCTTTACCGATTACCGTTTGAGTCGGGCTAGCATGTGAATTATTTAAATCCGTTTCACATGTAACGTTGTTCTAAGAGAATGAACCCTCTTAGACTTGATGCTATGATTTTGAATACTAAGAGAATGA